CTGTGTTCACAAGCTCTGCAAATGCCATGCTGGTGAGCTTCCTATGATCAGCTTCTGGAGCTGTGGGTTACTGGGCTAGTCCTTTGCTCCCTCATGGGGGAGAGCAGATGACATGGGAAAGATCCCTGTGGCCCTGAGTCCATAGTCTTCTGGTAACGACAGTGCCAAATTCCTGCCCTGTGGTCCATTGCTGTATACCACCATAGGAGTGCTGCAGCTCCTAGAGTGTGGGCAGCCCTGGTCCTTGTTTCTACCAGGGCACCTGGCCCTCTGTCTTGCTAAACCAAAGTGGTCCAAGAAGCCTCAGTAAGGTGCCCACTATTGCAAAAGTGAGGACTGTCTACTTTTTAAGAGTATCGGAAAAGCTCTTCACATCTAAAATTGTTTCTGTTCTACTACTGTAGCGTACCACTGTGGTATGTCAGGTTAGACTTAGAGTCTCAGGGCTGGAGAATTATCAGAGATACTCAGGCTAGTCTTTTCCATTGCAAGAATCTCCTGTCCAGTGTGACTGTAGGTCCCCCCGCCCCCATGCTGTGCTGGGGAGCTCATCTCTCAGTCTTCTGCTTGTATATCTAGGTTGCCCTGACGAGGGAAAGGTGTCTGTCTTGTGGGAGATCTATCTCCAGGTCCTACTGTCTGAGTCTGATACCCAGAGGCTGCCAAATCCACATTCCAGCAGGATGCAGGGCAGGGTAGAGGCTGGGGTGGGTGTGGAGATGGATTTGGTGGTGGAGGACAGGATGTGCACCTGGAGGGCAGTGTGGGTGCTCATATTGTTTTCTATTCCTGGACTCTAGGACAAGTGGGAGGAAAAAGCTCGTGAGAATAAAAGCTTCGACATCTTCTGTGATGTGGGCCACATGGCACTGGACTCACTCATGAAGTGCACCTTTGGCAAAGGAGACAGTGGCCTGAGCTACAGGTCAGGGGCTGCCTTGTAGTTGACCACACTCCTTCCTCCCCAAGCTAGCTCAGAGGGGAGAGCTTTATGGTCCTGGTCAGAGGAGAGGTGCCTTAGTGAGGGAGCTTAAGCGGGGCAGGGGTCGCATGGTGGTTGGAAGAGGGTTGCACAGGGCTTCGCCCCTGGATGAGAGTCTGAGCAGTCTCTCACTCCACTCTTGCCACACAGCGATAGCAGCTACTACCAGACAGTGGCTGACCTCACACTGCTGGTGCAGCAGCGCATTGACTCCTTCCAGTACCACAATGACTTCATCTACTGGCTCACACCCCATGGCCGTCGCTTCCTGCGGGCCTGCCAGGCAGCTCATGACCATACAGGTGCACCTTCCTGTGGGGCCTACTGATAGGAAGTCTGCATTTTTCTTCTTGGTCCCTCTGCATTTTGCCCATTGTAGATCCTTAGCTCCCTTTTGGGGACAGTCCCCAGGGAGTGACACCTGTGCTCCTGGCCTAGATCATGTCATCAGGAATCGGAAGGCAGTCTTGCAAGATAAGAAGGAGCAAGAGAAGATCCAGCACCGGAGACACCTGGACTTCCTGGACATTCTTCTGGGTGCTCGGGCAAGTACCTACTGCCCTAGAGGGTCCTCAGACCATCTTGTGAGGGCAGAGAGTGCTGCCAATGAGAAGAGACCATTGAGTACTCCTCTCTTTCCCCAGCAAAAGCAACTTGCTTCTTGCCCCTCAACATACATCACTAAAGGCACAAAGATGCAGGGTATGTGGTGTTAGACTACGTATCTTGAAACTGGGGGCCTGAGTCACATGGTGGTGACCTGAAGACATTTTTAGACTTCTGAGATCCTCAAGAATCTTGACATTGTAGAATCTTAGAACTTAGATTTCATTCATTCATTCCTTCATTCAGTTCTTTATTCCTCCATTCCATAAACTCACTGAGTCAGTTCCTGTGTCAGGATGCTTAGATGGGAAAGACTTCGTCCTTGCCCTTCAGATTCTTACAGTCTAGTGGAAGGGACTTATAGTTGGTGAATGTTGACGAGATGCCTTCCTCTAGTAGGTGGCATTCTGTGTGACAAGATACTAGGGCTGACAGTCAGGGCTGGGTAAGGTCACAGGTCATTTGGCCAGAGGGGTCAAGGAGGGAATCATGGAGTAGGAGGCATCCAAGGTGGGCTTAGAAGAAAGATATGACCCTGGAGAAGGCTTTTGTTCTCAGTCTGCTAAGCAGGTTTCACTGCCCTTGTCAGACCTGCTTTTGATAGCTATTCTTCCAACTCTTGGAACCTACCTCAAAGCCTTGAGCCTGTTATATCTTAACCCAGGATGAAAGTGGCATCAAGCTGTCTGATGCAGACCTCAGGGCTGAAGTGGACACATTCATGTTCGAAGGTCATGACACCACTACCAGTGGCATCTCCTGGTTTCTCTACTGCATGGCTCTGTACCCGGAACACCAGCAGCGTTGCAGGGAGGAGGCCCGTGAGATCCTAGGGGACCAGGACTCCTTCAAGTGGTGAGTGAGGTTGAGAGGTATCTGACCTGTCCTGCTCCACCCAAGGAGCTCCGCACCATCCTGGAAATAAGGTGAGGGTGGCAGCAGTTGTTCCGCTCCCTCCAGATCTTCAGCTTTTGGAGTGCTGAATGTGGACATATCTTTTATCTCATTCCCTGTAAATGGAGCCTTTTCACTGTCATACAGAGAAAAGCTAAATAGAACCTCAACAGTCCCTAATGGTGGTTTCCATGTGGCAGTGAGAGACACAGAAGTGACCTTGTCTTTCATAGTTGGGTGCACATACATCTAGGGTCCTGTCCCTTTCCTTCCTCGCAGTGAAGATGGGGATGGGATAGAGGGGTGTAAAGCCAGATCAATGTGTCTGAGTGGCTACCTTCTGTCTAATCTGGCTCAGCTTCTTGTAGCCCTTGGGCCCCTCTAATTCCTGGATGTAAGCTGGTGCTGAGGGGAAGGCAACATGGTGAGGTATGAAGTTGGAGGTGGGTCTCATCTTTCCTCAGGACCCCATTGCTCATCATTCCAAACTGTCTTGTGTTTCTGCCAGGGATGATCTGGGCAAGATGACATACCTGACTATGTGTATCAAGGAGTGCTTTCGCCTTTACCCACCTGTGCCTCAGGTGTACCGCCAGCTCAGCAAGCCTGTTGACTTTGTGGATGGCCGCTCTCTACCTGCAGGTGGGAGGAGGTGGGCTAGGGGGTTGATTCAGGGGCTCCTGGATGTTCCTTTGACACCTCCTGCAACGTTGCCTAACACTCGGCAAGCTTAGGCTTTGTGTTCGGAGAGTCCTGAGTACAAATCCTAGCTCCACAGCACATAAGTTAATTGTCTGCCTCTAAATCTTCATTTCCTCATCTATAAAATGAGGAAAAGAAGAGTACCCCCCTTTCAAGGGTGTTGTCAAGATGAAAGAGACACAGCTCACCAACGCTGCCCCATAGCACCATGCACTTTCAGGTTGTGTCTTGGATAACCTCAGGGCATGATTTGCATAATTTGAAGTTAATGCAGGGCTGCATACAACTTGTAAAACTGTATATAGTAGCTTCATACAGAGTGTTTAGAAGTATACCTGACATGGAGCAATTACCTAATGAAATGGTAGTGACTACTATTGATAGCATAATGTTATGAATGATAGCTTCTTGAGAGTTACTTAATGGACAGCAGAAAGGTTATAGTGGTTTCTGCCTGTCCTACTTTATGGTAGGGTGGGCTCGTATTTCCTTTTCTTTTTTCATGCCATAGATGTCTGTGTCGGGTGCTGTGTTCTATGTTGGTGCTACAGGAACTGGACAGGGTAACAATAAAAATACTTTGAAGAACAGTATTGCCAAGAACTTGAGGTTACTGGCAATGGTCAGGGAGGGCTAGTCACTAGGTAGACACTAGGGCATTCAGGTCCTATGTGGAGGCAAGACTAGCTGCTTCAGGCCCATTTGGTCACCAAGGCTTTCTTCTACAGGCAGCCTGATCTCTCTGCACATCTATGCCCTCCACAGGAACAGTGCAGTGTGGCCTGACCCTGAGGTACCTTGTTTGTGCATTGAGATCAGACAGGGTGGGTGCTATGGGAATTCTCACATGCCAGGACTTGGTGGGTGTTTAAGCAAAGCCTGTGTCCTTAGGTCTTTGATCCTCTGCGTTTTTCTCCTGAGAATGCATCTGGACGCCATCCTTTTGCCTTCATACCCTTCTCTGCTGGGCCCAGGTAGGGAGAGTCCAGAATCCCCAGTTCCCCAGAATTGAGAAAGAAGGTGGGAGATGCCATTAGGGAGATATTCTTATGGGATATCCTGTGATGAGGAGACTGTATTGAGCTTTTTAAATGCATGGAAAGCTTCAGGGATATTCTTCTTGCTATTATATTCTTTTCCCTGGGAAGTGGGTGGATGGCAGTCATTCCAAGAGAGACCACAAGCCAGAATCCCATCATGCAGCTACTCTGTTAAGGCTTTCGCTATGTTCCCAAGATCTCTTTCTTAAGCCGAGGTCAATCAGTGTATCAAGCAGTTATACATCCAAAAATAGTTACTGATTTTTTGTTAGCCACTAAGAGAACTGAAGTTCATCACTCTGGATATCTCACAGCCCAGTGCCTCTCTGTACTGCTCACTGCAGGAACTGCATCGGACAACAGTTTGCCATGAATGAGATGAAGGTGGTCACAGCTCTCTGTTTGCTTCGCTTTGAGTTCTCCCTGGACCATTCACAGCTGCCCATCAAGCTGCCCCAGCTGGTTCTGCGTTCAAAGAATGGGATCCACCTCCACCTGAAGTCACTGCGCCCTGAGTCTGGGAAGTAGCTCTGCAGAGAGTAAAGCTCCAGTCAGCCCAAGCTCTTCCTTCTCCCTGAGCACCGCTCTCCCAGATGAATGTAGAGTAGTTGTAGCTTTCTGCTTTCAGGAATCTTATTGTTTGGGAGGGGAGTAGGCACTGGCACAGACAACCTCCAGGAGGACAATGCCACTCAAATGTTGAGTGTCTGCAAATACTTGTTACTTATATATTCAAGATCTCATTCATTCACTTAGTTGGGGAGTACAGACTCATCTCAAGAAGTGTCATTTATCTCCTATAATTAACAGTCTTTCTAAAATGTAGGAGAAATGTGCTTTGCAGCCTTAGTGACATAGTGAATACAGTAGAAGCTTTGCTGTGGATTCATGATTATGACCTGGTAGCATGTGATTGTGGGGTGGCTCAGGGAATTGTCCCTCATGGAGATGTGTTTTTACGTTTAATTGTGTATGTATAATATAATTAAAATGAAGAAAAATTATCTAAATCAAAACTATACAAAATAATGAGTAATTCTAAAGCAAATTCCCATTGCCAAAGTCAAAGAATATTCAGGATGGTTTTGTGGGGTTTCTTCCTTGGCTGAGTGATTCTCTGTGGCATCGTGCATTCTCAGCATTAAGGTCTCAGTCATGTAATGCTCTGGGAATTCACAGTTAGGCCAGGGAAGTTTGGCAGAGTTGTCATTAGAGGGGGACTTCCTGGAGAAAGAAAACGTCCCTTGAATCAGGTGTTGAGTCATGAGTGAGGTAGGAAGGTACAAAGAATTTTTGAGGAAAGCCTCAGGCATGGGGTTACGTGATGACTTAGAGGTCTTTTCTGGCAGCTCCTGCAGCAACTGCATGATGGTTGTAAGCTCATACACTTCTGGGGTTCAAGGTGTAAGGCCACTAAGAGCCTGCAGTCCAGGAATTACAGTTATAGAAGGAAGAGGACTCAGGATTGGGGTTAGGGACAGGAGAGAAGAATTCCAATTTTGGAACTTGGTGATGTCTCGATGGTGCTCTGAGGGTGCACCATGGCAGATAAATCCTCCAGGATACTGCTTTTTTCACTCTCAGAAGAAAGTTTCACTCAGGCTGACCTGCCATACGCTATCTGCTGAAGATCCAAATCTCCTTGCCCAACTGAGTATAATTCAGAGGACCTAGCCAGGGTATAACTTTTGGCTGTCTGTTCTGCACCTCATGTTACCAACAGCCTGCTGTGTTCCAGTATCTCAATAGACTGCTCTCTGTACAAGTGAAGACGATCATCACAATCATCACAATTTTGTGGAATGGGAGCTATGCCTCCAGCAGTGATCACCTTATAGAAGATATAGACCTAGGTGGGAGTTAAGCCTTGAGGTCATAACCATCTTATACTCTGGATTGGCATCTGAGCACAACTGTATCCATTTCTTAAGTCTCTCCAGACCTTCAGCACCCATGCAGTCATTAAGTGTGGGCAGGGTCAACATCCCCTGATGGGAGTAGACTGTGATCCTATTTCAGTATTAACAGAAGGAGCCTGTGAGAAACTCATCTGTGAGGAGCTTGAACTGACTCTATTCCAAGGTTAGTACTGACAGTCTCCTGAGGATGGATGCTGATGGAAAAATAGAGCTGAAAGGTCTGGTATTAGAGTGGAGAGAGGCTCCCTGGAGGAGAGAGGATGGAGGCTGTGAGTGATAGGTGCCACAGATGAGTTCTCTTTAACCCCTCTAGATCTTCAAACACACACACTGCTGGCTCCTGTGACCCTAGAAATGAATGTGTGTGCATGTGTGTGTGGGTAGTGTGTTGTCTGCAAAGGGTGTACACAAGAGTGGCTTATGTGTCTATTCATGTGTCTGAGGGGGTTGTGCACATGAATGGAACTCAACCTGGGTCTTGCCTATTGTTTGGAGGCAGCAAGGTCACTTTTGAGTCACACTTCCCTATCCTGTGGAGTCCTGTAGTTGCACCACATGTTCATGGCTGGTCATCCAGAATTCTGAGCTTCTATTGTCCTGTGTGCTCTGAACATGCCCTGCACCACTTTTTGCACCTCCTGATGCTGGGCCTGCTGCTGGACATGCTGTTTGTGATATTCCCAGATAACTCTTTTTCCCAACTCTCCCTTTCCTCTTGGTTTAGAATCCAGTCTGGTCTCTCCTGCCCCTCTTCAGAGCAAGACCAAATGAGCCCAGTGACTTAGGAGGCCAGAAGGATGGGACAGAAGTCTTGGCAGCAGGTTTCAACTTAGAGAGAACATACAGACCATAACATGCTGGGGACATCAGATAGGACTGCAGGAAGTTCTGTCTATAGCATCTACAGCTATTGAGGCAACTGGGGAATCTGTGCTCAGAACCAGCAAAACAAGCAGAGGCTTATTTAATGGAGACTCACAGAAGCAAGAACAGAAGACCAGGGAATCTGGTGGTAGTACCTAGAGGGATGCAAGTAGGGAGCAGGACCAGGGTCAGAAGTACCAGGAATCAGGAAGCCTCCAACTGTGGGCAGAGTTGTTGATGCCCCTCATCTTTCAGGGTAGCCAGCCAGGGAGACTTCATGGGGCAGGACGAGCTGCTTGGGTTCTGACATCCCCTCCCATCAGATGAGGAGATTTTTGCCAGCTCTTGACTGACAGTTTTCCATTCTCTGAGCCTCCTGAGGAGTATTAAGGTCCTATTTGTGAAGGAGGCTGACAGGTGACTTGGTGACATGGCCAGGCCGGGTTCTCTTCTCACATCTCATTGGATCTGTGAATAGCAAGGTCCTGAGGCTCTCATGCCAGATCAGGTTGGAAGGCTTTCCTGCTCAGATGGGTTTTAGCTGGAGCTTCTGAAAAGTCTAGGGCAAGTAACGTTAGTCCTTGAATATAATAGAGGCTTTTGTCTCCTTCCTTGACAGATGTGAGTTTCTCTGAGATCCCAGAGAAAAGACCTTTGTCTAAACTCAGCTACTGGAGCCTCAGCAGCTGGATTGGTATGGAGCATGAGGAGTCACATGTGTGAGGCCACTCAAAGAGGGTGGGCTCCATAAGGTCAAGAAGAAGTTCTGGCACCACAGGCCACATGTCATTTTCTTCTTCCTCAGAAGGGACTTGTCTCCTTTCCTTCAATTTCTTTTTTCCTGCCATAGTCTTACAAGAGGCCAAGACACTCCATGTGACATTAGGAACCTTATTGCAAGGAAGAAGGAGATGGAGAAGCTCGAGTGAGAGAAATACAGGTAGATAGACGCCTTGCAGGCGAAATCCAGTGACAGTTCAGGAGGGACAGTGGCAGACTGCATAATGTTTTCCCAGGATGTCCAATGCCTCAGCATTGAAGCTCAGGATTATGTTATCTCATATGGCAAACAGAACTCTGAAAGTTGAAAGGTTGATTAAGTAAAAGACTTTGAGATGGGTAAATTATTCTTTAAAGAAAGAGGAGCTAGTTCCATGGAATACAAGAAATGAATCTGTAAAGTGGAAGGGCAATTAAAATTATTTTCTCCAAAACTCTGCAGAAGACGGCTACACTAACAACTGGATCTTCTCCTAGTAATACTTTTTTTTTTTAATCAGTACAGGGGTTCGAACTCATGACCGCACCCTTGCAAGGCAAGCGCGTATGCCACTGAGTTAAATCTCCAGCCCCAGTGGTACCTATTTTTGACTTCTGATCTCCAGAACGATAAGAGAGATTTTCATTACTTCAAATCACAAAGGTTGTGGTAGTTGATTATAACATCAGCAGGAACTCATACAGATTAAAATCAGCAGGCAGAAATGGAAAGAACAGGTAGAGAGGTAGGTAGGCTGAAGGATAGGCAGGTGATCAGGGCCTAGATAAACAGAGATGCAAGCAGAAAGGAGACAGGTAGCAGACAAGTAAATAGGGAGTTTGAAAAAAAGAAGGACACATAGGAAGGAGGCAGGACAGCAGGAAAATGAGAAGATAGAAAGCAGGAGATGAGTAGACGGGCTGGGGACCTGAAGACAGGATGGTAGGCAGCAGACCCTCAGAACCTGTTGTTGACTCACCAAGGTTAGTGGAGCTTCCTGAGATACACGTGGATCCCATTTTTGGACTTCAACACAATTTGTGGTATGGGGATGGGGACCCTGGTGGGGTCTGGCAGTAGCTCAAAACGGAGCAGGGTCTGGGCCACAGCCACCTTCAGTTCATTCATGGCAAATTGTTTCCCAATGCAGTTCCTAGGCCAGACAGGAACAGTGAAACAAGATATAGCCTCAGAAGCTATGCTGAGCTGGTCAGGAACTAGTGCCTGAGTTCCAGCCCAGAGCTGGGCATTCAGGCTATTTATATGCCCGGTTAGACTCACGCAAAGCTCTGCCCTAGGTCTTGGGTCACTCTCTCTTGAACTTTGACAAAGTCTTCTAGTTGTGCATGGCTACCCCTGGTCCACTGTTGCTCTCACAGGCATGGAATCACTCTCTTAGGACAGAGCCAGAGGGGCAGTCTGATCCCTTGAGTCATTTAAAGCGTTAACTGTTGGTTAGTTCATTGCATTTAGAGATTCAAGAAAGTTCACTGACAGGAGCCAAGTGTTAATAAGGAACCAAAGGGGGGTCAGGTTGGGGATCCCACTCAGTGGTCAGGCACCTACTTCCCTCTCCCACCCCAGGCCACCAATCTGTATCCTTCTAAATTCATCCAGAAATGTCCCTGCTTGTTTCTTCAGTGTTTTTGTCCCAGATTTCTCTTGTGTCTGTGCTTTCCCTTCTTCCACACTGATACTTCCATGTCTTCCCTTAAGCAGGATGGTGCATCCACATCTTCTATGTCTGCTGTCTCTCTCACCTCCTACCTATGTGATCCCATGTTCTAGCTCACATCACAAACATGTTCTTCTTCCATCTCTGCCTGTACATCCTTAAGGCCCAGACAAATGACCAGCTGGTCCTCATCCCTGCTCCGCTGTCCCTTTCCTTCCTGGGGTCGCAGTGATACCACTGGTACTTTACTCAACCCAGAGACTGAGACAGTGCTGGGAATGTGGACCATCCCACTGAGAGTGAAAGAATAAAGGAAGGAAAGATGTCTTCCTTAAATATGGCTACTTCTTTCTGTAGAGCACATATTTGCCCTTGACTGAACACTTGAGAGAGGAATGGTATCTTTAATTTTATAACCCAGTATAGGACTTGGCACATAGAGGCTGATGTAAGGCCTTCCTTTATATTTGAGTTAAGTTAATTAACTTCACTAGAGTTAAAAAATTCAATTTAATTGAGTTTAAAATAATATAAGAAATTTACCTAAAAATTGAGCTACCTCGTATTCTCCTGTCCTCTAGTGGCAGCAATATGATTTATAGTCAGTGTACAAGGAGGTACTGTCTTAGAACAAAAATCAAATTCTAGAAAGTCTATTTTTGCAAAGGCAAGTTCCTTGAAGCTGGTTCTAGGAAAGTTGTTTTACTTTGAATTTGAAGAATTCATAAAAATACTGACTGAGAAAAGCCTGTTTCTACCACTTCTTTATAGACATTATAGTAAGTTACATCCTACTGGGCAAGTCTCATGGGCTTTGAGGGTCAAAGAAGCCCTTTTGGGGTGTTCTTGTCCAGCTCAGCAGCTACTTCAATTGTGTTTTATATTTTACACACCAGGAACCTGTCCAGTGACATGCAGTATATACAAAATAGTAGATTTCTCTCAAAGGAAGTATACTGTTCCCATTTTAATGCTTTTTTTTAAATCCAAAGTTGAACTATGTTGGATCTAAGTGTAATTTCAAAGTATTTGCACTGGACTTCATCTATCCCATTTTGACAACTGGAAAAGTAAGAAGAATGTGAACATTGAAACGCAGTCAAAAATTACTTTGGGAGAGACTGAAAATGTGCTGTGAAACTTTCTTTGATGGCTTACTGTAAATTTTCAAAATCTGACTAGAGAGGTGGCAGATAGCAGGCACCCAGAAAGTGAATCCAGGCAAACTAATCACTTGCTGCTGCAGTGACTTGAGAAAAAATGAATCAATAGAAAGAGTGGTGGCTGGATTGTAAATGTGTGAGAAAAATCTACCCTTGGAGATTCCTGGCAGTCAAAAAGCACGTCATCTGAAGTCAGACATACACAAACATTTCTAATTCCTAACATCCTACTTCTAAATTGAGGAAAGCAGCAGGACACACTGGAATGTGTAATGTCTACTGACACTGGGATTTGACCTGGCCATTGGGCCAAGGTCTCTGTGGTGTGCCCCGAAATGTTCTATTTCTTATGTGCAGAGATGCATCCGCACAAGGCTTCTTTCCATAACACCAACAAAGAAGGGTATATTAGAAGAGGCCCTATGTGAGCATAGGAGGTAGCAGGGTTTGCTACAGGAAAGTAGCCTCATCCCCTATTACCAAATTACCAACACAGGACACCTCACCTTGGTCCTCCTGAGAAGGGCAGGAATGAGTGGCTGTGTCTGGAAGAATCAGGTGCAAATCGGGAAGGGTCAAATATCTGCAGAAAGAGAACCAGTGTCTGCACAGGTAGGGGCCAAGTCCCTTGTTCCAAATCAAGAGGGGACAGGAAGCCCAGAGGAAAGAGAAGGAGGAGGGGTTCCTGAGGAATCACCTCCTTCCCTTCCCTCTTTTCCTCTCAGGGACATCATACCTCAGGATTTGGCCACACCTTCGGGTTATGGTGAAGGCCATGAAAAGAGAGTATGACGTTAATACCTGGGGGACAGAGGAAGACAGAGAAAAGACTGATTATGCACATGATGTCAGTTCCTGGTCCCTCTGCCAGTAGGAGATAGACATGCACAAAAGGTCCGAATGCCTCAAATCATCATTTTGAGCAAAGTGATCTTGTTGCTAAAGATATGGGTGGACTTGGTAAATAAACTACCGGAACACAGATGAAGAACAGAAAACCATGACTTTAAGAGAGATGCAAGAAAGAATTGGACTTTCCTTTTTGTTATAAATGAAATGAGAACTTTTGTTGATAAAGGATTTTCACTGAGGAGCATACATTAATTCATTTAGTCCTCTTAACAACCCTCCAGAGAAAGCACTGATATAGCCCCATTTTTCAGATGAGGTAACTACATTTCAGAGAGGAATTGTCAGCTATTGCGCAGGTAGGATGTGGCAGGACTGGGACTCACGTTTAGTGGAGGGTGAACCAACAAGTCGTTTGCTACCGTAGCAGGGTTCTTAGATCTGGCTATCAGCTGCTTTCTGCCTTCAACATGAGTGCTCCTCAAGGACTGGACCATAGCTGACCAATGGCATAGAATTCGCTGCTCATTTGTCTTGACTCCGCATAAGAACCACGTCTCCTTAGCCCCTATCTGTTTCTCTCATCATCCTCTACATTTTAGGGTGTTAGAATTTTAGAGGCCAAAATCTAAAAGTTAATATTTCTCTGTGGGGAAATTCCCACAGAATAAATTGCATTACATTTATTAATACATATAGTTTTTTTTACTCAATTATGCAATACATTATATCAAATATAGAAGATGTAAAAAAGATGTGAGAAAAATCTACCCTTTGAGATTCCTAGCAATCAAAGGGACAAATATGGTCATACATGTCATCTAGAATTGGAGCCTAGAGTGTTAGAATCAAAGAATGTCACTATCACCAAACTGGAATTAACTGCAACATTGCAAGACTGTGCATTCTAAAGAAGAACGAATGTCAGCTGAAGAACAGGAGTAGTGTAGGGTGGTAACCATGTGAATAGACAGTATTAGAAGGAGCTGTATAGTTCATGTAGGCTTATGTTCTACATAAGCAAAATGTACTCTATAAGTAAGAAGCATTCATTTATTGACAATAAAGAAAGACCCAGCCAGATTCAGAACTGCTGAACCACACATGAATTTCCTAATTCTTCCCTATCCTTGAGGAGAACTTAGGTGATCCTGGGAAAGTTATACCTTTGGGTAAAGATTTTCCATCAGGGAAGGTAACAGGTTTGCTGAGCTCTCTGCCAACTGATGGAACTGGTGGATAGAGCCTCAGGGCCTCCTTGATGCACATGGTGGTATAGGACATCTGGTCAAGGTGTTCCCTGAAATGAAGCCCATCCTGAAGGGCAGAAAGAGTCTGGAAAGATCGAGGTCTCCCCTGGCAAAAGAGGCTGTGCTCTCCCACCTCTTCAGCTCTTACTCACCAAGTAATGGAGCCTTTATCTCCCAGGAGGTTCTGGACCTCTTCCCTGCACCTCTGTTGATGGCTGGGGTGTGTAGCAAGAGCATACAAGGTCCAGCAGATACCACTGGCTGTGGTGTCATGGCCCTCAAACATGAAGGTGTCCACCTCAGCACGCAGGTCCTCGTCTGATAAGCTGCTCCCATTTTCTGTCTGAGGTGGAACACAAACAACCAAAGAGGGTTTGTCCCTGCTCTGTGAGTTTGATCAAAGCCTTAGGCTCTCCCACACAGTCTTACTCTGGCAAACAGGAGGATGTCCAGGAAATCCAAGTGTCTCTTTTTTCTGATGTTCTCCAACTCTTTGTCATCCTTCAGCTGAGCCTTCCTCTGCTTTATTATTTGGTCTATCCCAGAACAAAAGTTCCTAGGTAGAACCAAGAACTACAGAAACCTACAGCAACCCAACCTGTATCTCCCTCCCCGGACCCAATATGGAAGTGTTGTGGAGCTCAGGATGAGAGTGCAGTGTGTGGGTCAGGAGTGGGAATTCAGCACTATTTGATACAGGTCAAGTTTTCCCCAGGAGTACAGCTCTTCAGTGTTGCTCAGAATCACCAATGTGAGAGCACCTTACCTAACACCTTCACATCTCAGCTCCCTTGCACTAGGGAAGACCAGCATGAGCCTCAGGTTTTGCAAGGGCACCTGAGGGCCTGGTTCTATCTGAAGGGCTGACACCATTTCTACTGAGTTAAGTCTGGTAAAGATGGGACACAGGAGGGGGAGAAAGAACCTGTGTGGTGATGGGCAATCTGAGTGGCACGTTTGCAGCGTTGGCCATTTGACGACAAACTGTAGATGGTGTCATTCTGGTGAAACATATTCCTTACACGGGAAAAAAACATGTTGTTCATCTCCTCAATGGCTTGGAGGTAGGGCCGGGATTTCCTGAGGGAGAAGATACAGAACAGATTGAACTGAAAGGAGATCTGGCCTGGAGGTAGAGGGGCTATTCCCTCAAAGGTGGGGGCACAAAACACTGAGTCATGTGTTACTTCTATCTTATAGTCTTTGTGACTCTCTGGCCTTTAGAAAATGGGGAGCAGCTGGGTTTTCAATCTTGCTAGGAATCAGGGGTGTATGGCTGAGGCAGGTTTGGATCTAGACTGGAATTACAGGTGGTTTGGGGCTTAAAACAGAATCTTGTTTTGTAGCAGAAATAGTGCAAAGCAAATGTGGCTGGATGCACTAGGTGGGCTGCCCCACTTGCTTCTCAAATGAGTCTGTATCAGTAGCAAGAATAAGGACTTTTCAGCTGAAAGGCTGTCACTGACCAGTCCAGCTGGACACTGCCCTGGTAGCTGAAGGCACACTTCATGATCGAGTCAAGTGTCATCAAGGAAACAGGTTGAAAGATCTCCATAGAGGCATCCTGACTGATGAGCTTTTCCCATTTGTCCTATGGTGGGAGGATAACATTTACCTTCTTACTTTCTCCAGAATTCTTCAGTTAAATAGACTAGAATTCCCCCACCGCCCCATATTCCAGATTCTCACAACTTATTTAAGAATTAAGCATAGCATTCTGTAAGACCTGAAATAAATTTGAAAGTTTTGGCAACCAGCTATGTTTTTCATTTCTTTTTTTTTCAACCAACAAAATAGATTTTTCAGGGGATAAAAGGTAAGATGATTCTTCAATATTCTGAGAATTGGGCTTGATCTGAGGGAATAGTGGGACTCCAATTTTAGAAGGCAAATGTGTCAACTAAAAGAAAACCTAAGCTTTTACTGTGGGCTCTTCTAATGAGGGCCATAAGGGACTTTGATTCTTGTTTACTCATTTTTTTTGTCTTTTTTGTTTTTATCGGTACCAGGGATCAAACTCACGACTGCCTGCTTGCAAGGCAGGTGCTTATGCCGCTGAGCTAAATCCCTAGCCTCTAATTCTTGTTTACTCATTAAAACGTTTGCTGAGACCAGCTGGATCAGAACCAGGCTTGTTGAAACATGATGGGATGGCAGGTTGGCTGTAAGAATGTGCTCCTATTGTCCATTTTACTGCATGTATTACTCAAAACCCACGAAGAAAATGTGTGCCTGAGGCAATTAAATGATATGCTGTGAGATTCCCTGAGCCACTGCAGCTGCTGATGTTCCTCAGGCCAGCCAGGGACAAGTAGTCCTGGTGTTGAGCAGGTCTGACTCCTCCACTAATCCACTGTGATAAAGACCTGAAAGTGCAAGGCGGGTCCTGTATCCACCATGACACTCTGTCATGGGTGATGCGCACAATGTGGCTTGACCCTGATGCTTGGATCCTCTGTGTCCTGTGTACTGTCACAGGGTTAACTTAAAGAATGTTATTCCATATGACTGTCTGAGGTCACATGTGTTGAAGACCAGCATCTGAGTGTTTGCTGTGAGTGTACATTCGTGAAAGACAGACTCACCAGCATCACTCGAACAGAGTTGGCCATGATTTCCACATAGGGCTTCAGGATGTCATAGTGGAAGGCTGGGGTCAACATTCGCCTGTGCTGGAACCATGTTGGTCCATTCAACAGGAGCAAACCATACCCTGCACCAGAGATAGGTGTATGTAATCTGTGTGTGTGTGTGTGTGTGTGTGTGTGTGTGTGTGTGTGTGGTATGTATGTATGCGACAGAATCAGATCCCTGGGATAATTTGGGAGGAACTCTAATGTGGAACTGGGGAAGACAACTCTTGAGGGTAGAATTTCTTGGACAAAGGCAGGAAGGACACGTATATTCATGAACATAGACTTTTCCAATTGGGATGGTCCATCTGCTGTGATTATGACAACTCTTCTTAGATAAAGATTTTAAAAAAGTGTTGGTGTTAGGTCAAGGAGGGGCATAAAAAATGCCAGGTAGGAATGCTTAGAGATAGGGCAGGAGCTGATCTTCAGGAGGGCTCATTTCAGCAGTAGGAAGGGATAAGTATCTAATGAGAAGAAAAATGAGGGTCGATTTAGGGATGGTTCATGACAGTCTTGACTAGGTACTTGTTCTCTGTAAACCAGAGAAGTAGCACTAGGGAAACTTTATTGGACAATAATTGGGCTCTCAATTTAAACATACATACCAATCCAGGGTGCCAGGAATCTGTAGAAAGAAATGGCCTTTGGATCTGAAAGGTAAGCAAGGGCATTAAAGGAAACTGAAGGCCAAATAATGTGGCCCTAAGGGAACTGTAGTTCAAAATATGGAATGTTAAAATTCTTGATGACTGCCAGGTGGCAGTTGATGTTATGACACCTGCTGTTGCTTCTAATCCCTTAAACCTGACAGTCAGTTTGTCTCAGGAAGGTAGGCTCCTTATACTAGAAGCTGACCACTCCCAGGACTGTGATGAGGAACTGGGGAGAAACAATGGCTACAGCCTCAATGCCAAGGAATAAAACAGAGCTTATTGCTTTGCTAGTGTGGGTCCTGGCTCAGTCATTTCATGACATCAAACAGGTGACAATTAGTGTTTTTGAACCCAAATTGGTGTACATAGTTTGCTTTTCAGATTTAGATCACATTATACAACCATTCCTTAATTTGATTTAAAGAAAGAAAGTTTAAAAAGAAAGAAAACAGAAAATTGGCCCCATGCAGTTTGTTATTTTTAAAACTTCAGTAATGAATAAGAGTTGTTGGCCATGTGCTGAATTGTGGCTTGGGTAAATGATGGGTAGCATTTTGAGTTGATGCCTGAAGTGTTGCTCTGCTTTGAAATTTGATGGGTCAGATGTGTATACTACAGAGGAAGGAGCTCCTGTTGCTAGAATGAGGCTTTAGTCTCACCTGATCTCCCCAGAATCACTTTCATGTAGTCAGGGTCGTAGATGATCAGGTGAGCTTCACTCCCCCAGAACCAGCGAGGATAGGCACTTGGGAATTCCTTTACCCATTTCAGCGTCTGCTGCAGCTCGTCTTCTGGCAGGATCTGTCACCAAGGGAAAGACAAATCAGTAAGTACTTTTGTTTAGTTCTAGTCCTTGCAGTGAAGTGAAGGGTAGGACTATCAGAAGGACATAGTTGTGGATCATTCAGCAAAAATTAGAAATTTGGAGTTGGATGCATAACCTATCTGTGCTGTCAACCAGAATTTGCTGTCTCCCAGGACTTTCCCTAAGTCAGATTCTGTGCCCCACTAAATGAAGTTGTGTGCATGAGAGAAGCAATGGGAATCAGCAACTCAGGTGTCTTTCAGAGCTCCTTATTTCTCTTTTCTTAAGTGGATTCAGTGCGCAATCTCTTGCTGAGCTCCTCTTCTTGCAGTCCCTCATCAAGCCACGGGGTGGCATTGCAGGGAGTCATTGCTGTCTCTCTTCAGCTTTCTCTCCTTCCTGGAAGACTTGTTGAGGGGGACTCCACAGACCTGTGCCAACTCCAGTGAGCTCATAGCCTGGGGAGAGTGGAGGCTGAGCTGGCACATAAAAAGACTGTTTCATGAGTGACTCTATTGTCAGTCCCCTTCATCAGCAGAATTGTGCTGTTGTCTCACTCTGTGTGTCCATAATTTTCAATATGTTAGCCTCCATGATCACCCATTTTGGAGATTCCCCCAGTCTCAGGCAAATCTAGTTAGTTGGTTCCTCCACCTGATGTCATCGCCCTCCCTGTTAGTCTTTGCCTGTGGCCCCACACCTCCTGAGATTCATGTTTACCATGTGCTCCCCTCAGAGCAGGGATTCTATCACACTCATATCAGTATCTCCAGACAAGCTCAGGCCCAAGCACAGAGGTTGGCATCAAGTGACTGGAGTAGGTGGTATCCCGGCTGGTTCTAGCACTCTAGGATCCTAAGGCTGGACTTGCAAGTTTGAGCCCAGCCTGGGCAACTCAGAGACTAAGCAAGACCCCATCTCAAAATAGAAAATAAACAAGGTCTGGTTTGTTGCACACAGTTGAGAGAGCCAGGGGTGCTCAGCTTGGAGGAGACAGAACTCAGGAAGGGTCAACCACAGTGTCTCCAAGTGCAAGGCTGCCAGGTCAAGTGACAGATATTCAAAAAAAAAGGAGTGTATGATAGAGCTGAGTCACAGCCGGACCAGCTTCTTGTAGAGTGAGCTCCCTGAGGCTGAGATAAGCACAGCCTGAGAGGGTCACTGGGTGCTTCTTGAAGATCACATGCTTGCTACATGGTAGTTCTGTCATGTGGATTGCTGGCTAGACTCTGAAAGCGCCAGCTTCCCTGCTGTCCCCTTCTTGCTTTTTCTTACCTTGTGCCCTAAAAGCCAGTGGGAGGGTGCACACGGGAACTGCTGGAAAGCTTTGAGCAGCCATTGTCTGCACAGGTAGAAGTGGGCTGCTTTGAACAGCAGCAGAAGCAGGCTGAGCAGGGAGACCACTTGGAGGAATCCAGAGATGCTGCCTGGGAATCTGGCGGGGCTGAATGCAGAGACGCTCATGGTGCAGTGGCTTCGGGATCTCTGACTAGTCTCACCACCTGGCCTGTTTTGTGGAAGATTGCCTGCCCACTAGTGGGAGGGAGCAGCATGAGGGCAGAACTTTATTAGTCGTTTATTTACATGGATAATCTACTTTGGAAGACAGAAAATGCTTTGTCAGCTGACAGTGGCAATCATCATGCACACACCCACTTCCCCCCTCCATATCAGACACAAATATTTATTTATTTATCTGTTTATTTTCCTTTTCCTTTTAAAATTGAATGTCATTTATTATTATTTTTATTTCTTCATATATACAAGATACAGTGTGGTATTTAGATACAGTATGTTCTAATCAAATCAGGTTAACCCTTTCACATCTTTAAACATTTATCATTTCTTTCTTTTTTACTATTGTAAAAGTTTTATGTTGTAATTATTAAGCATGATTATCACAAAAAATAGCTATGCTGCTAAAGCAGTATCTTAAGTGAAGGTCCCAGGCTTTGAGCCTTTCTCCACACGTCTATTAAGGCCACCACTTTATTCACATTTGTGGGAAGCTCCTTAAATTCCCTCAATAAATCTGACACCTGCACATTTTCCTCTGAATTGCCAATGCTGAGTTCTCCCAGTAGATGGTAAATGATTGTCAATTCAGACATCTAAGCACTGGTGCCTGTCTTCCTCCAGGAGAGACAAGTGGATCACTCTCATAGGCAGTTAGTGCTTTTTGGTGACCAGGGTGTGGGGGAAAGAGTCTTCTATTGCTCCTTAAAGCATTCAGTCATTGCCTGATGGCAGCTCTGCATTCCTCTGTGGGCATTGACCATGTGTTCCAGTTTTTTTTTTTTTTATTTAAGAGGAAAAAGAGAAAAACACAAAACAAAACAAAGCAGTGTAAGGTTACACATAATACAGAACTACAAAAAAAAATAACAGTAAGAAATCCCCTGTTAATAGATTACATATTATCATCTTGGAAATAGTTGCTCAAATCACAGTATCAAAGAATACAAAGTAGACATTCAAACAGAGAGGCTGCAAACAGCTGTGTTCAATGATCCAAAAACATTAATATAGTCAGCTATTTAACACACCTAAACACACTTGCTGTTATATCCGTTAGAGCTCTTTTTTTTTTCCTCCCTCTCTTTTTTACAACAAAATTTACACATTTTGGATTTTATTACTCCTTAGTTCTTATTACTTTTTTGGGGGGGGGGAGAGAATAAAGTCAAATATGGCAAAACAAAGCTGTAAGTCAAAACCAAGGATAGACATAGCACATGATGTAGAACAGAGTACAAGGTTATTAACAATGGTTATCAACATTGTCTCTTGTTTCCTTAAAAGGAATTGTCTATCTCATTAGATATTATAAAGTTGGACAAAACAGTGGAGAACAAGACCAATAAAACTTAGGCATTGTAAACATTACAGGACTTCCAAAGGAGACAATAGTCAAACCAGAATGGGCATCTTTGTGAATCTTATTGCCTTCAAATTAGTTGCCTATACCCTCAGACTTGCTACTATCGCACAGAATGGAACACAGTCTAATCAGTCAAAACAAGATCGTGGGAGTATTACAGGACTTCAAAACAAGTTAATAGGAAATCGAAAAGAGTTACTATTATATATCCTAATTTTTTTAATTTTTCCCTTAATTAAAATAAACATAAGAAATAACTAAATAATTTTTTAAAGAATAGTAGTTACCATAGTGTCTGTCTTTTTCCTTAAAATATTTGGATAAAACTTCATATACCATAGCTTCAAATATTTCCATATCAAAAAGCCCAGAATAAAGCCTTTCTAATTAATAAGTGAAAATTTTATAAGGCTTCAGGGCCACATAATGGGGAATCATGATTATCACATATTTTTATATATTTGAATCATTATTTACATTAGGGAAACTATTCGGTATTCATACATGCGAGATTGATTTATTTCACTTATGAGTATGGTCTCAAGCTGCGCCCATTTATTGATAAATATCTCAATGTGATCCTTCTTTATAGCTGAATAATACTCCATTGTATAGAAATACCACAACTTTTTTATCCATTCCTCAGTTGATGGACACTTGGGTTGTTTCCAAGATCTGGCGATTACAAATTGTGCTGCTATAAACATAGGTGCACATATATCCCTGTGGTATGATGCTTTCAGTTCTTCTGGGAATATGCCTAGAAGTGGAATAGCTGGAATAAATGGGATTTCCAATCCCAACTTTTTGAGAAACCTCCAGACAGACCTCCACAAAGGCTGTACCAGTCTACACTCCCACCAACAGTGCAGGAGAGTTCCTTTTTCCCCACATCCTCTCCAGCATTTGTTGTTGTTGGTTTTCTTGATCCTGGCCATTCTTTCAGGAGTGAGATGGTATCTCAGTGTGGTTTTAATTTGCATTTCTCTAATGATCAATGATGATGAGCATTTTTTCATGTATTTATTTGCCATTTGCATTTCTTCATCTGAGAATTGCGTATTCATCTCAGATGCCCATTTTTGGATTGGATCTTTGAATTTTGGAGGTCTGAGTTTTTTTTAATTCTTTATATGTTTTAGACAAGAGTCCCTTGTCTGAGAGAGAGTTCACTAAAATCTTTTCCCAGTTTGTGGGTTTTCTTTTCACTATGCTGGAGATTTCTTTTGACATGCAGAAACTTTTTAATAAGAAGTGGTCCCAGTTATTGATTCTGGGAAGTATTTCCCGTGCAGTTTGAGTCCTATTCATGAATTCTCTACCTACTCCTATGTCTCCAAGGTTTCTACCCAATTTGTCTTCCAATAGATTTAGCGTTTCTGTTTTAATATTCAGATCTTTGACCCATTTAGATTTTAATTTAGTACATGGTGATAGACATGGGTCTAGTTTTAGTTTTCGGCAAATGGAGAGCCAGTTTTTCCAGCACCATTTATTAAAGAGACTGTCGTTCTTCCCGTGAACCTGCTTGGCTCCTTTATCAAAGATAAGGTGGTTGAGTGTGTTTGTAGTTGTGGTTGTATCTTCTAATCTATTCCATTGATCTTCAGCTCCGTTTTGATTCCAATACCATGTTGATTTTACTACTGTTGCTTTGTAGTATAATTTGAAGTCAGGGATTGTGATGCCTCCTGCTTTGTCTTCGCTGCTTAGAATTGCTTTTGCGATTCTAGGTCTCTTCTGGTTCCAGATGAAATTTAGGAGTGATTTCTCTAGATCTATAAGGTATGTTGATGGTATTTCTATTGGGATTGCATTGAATATGTATAAGAGTTTTGGGAGAATGGCCATCTTCACAATGTTTTTTCTTCCTATCCATGAGCAAGGGATGTCTTTCCATTTTCTGAGATCATCTTCAATTTCCTTTTTCAGTGTATTATAGTTTTCACTGTATAAGTCTTTCACTTCTTTCGTAAGAGTAATTCCTAAATATTTCATTTTTTTGCTTGCTAATGTGAATAGTCCAGTTTCTCTTATTTCCCTCTCTGTGGTTTTGTTGTTTGTGTATAGGAATGCTATTGATTTCTGAGTATTGATTTTGTATCCAGCCACATTACTGAATTTATTTATTGTATCTAAGAGTCTTTCAATGGAGCTTAGGGGGTCTTCTATGTAGAGTATCATGTCATCTGCAAACAATGACAACTTAACTTCTTCTTTTCCTATCTTTACCCCTTTTATTTCTCTTTCTTGCCTAATTGCTCTGGCTAGTACTTCCAGTACTATATTAAATAGGAGTGGTGATAAAGGACATCCTTGTCTTGTGCCTGATTTTAAAGTAAAGGCTTTCAATTTTTGGCCATTTAGTATGATGCTGGCTGTTGGTTTGTCATAAATGGCCTTTATTATATTGAGGTAAAGACCATCTATTCCAATTTTCTGTAGAGTTTTTTCATGAATAAATGTTGGACCTTATCAAAGGCTTTTTCTGCATCTATAGAAATGATCATGTGATTCTTATTTTTGGCTTTATTGATATGGTGGATTACATTTATTGATTTGCGTATATTGAACCATCCTTGCATTCCTGGGATGAATCCCACTTGGTCATGGTGTATAATCTTCTTGATGATTTGCTGGATCCTATTTGCCAATATTTTATTGAGGATTTTTGCATATGTGTTCATTAGGGAGATCGGTCTATAGTTCTCTTTTTTAGTTGGGTCTTTCTCAGGTTTTGGTACTAGAGTGATATTTGCTTCCAGGAATGACTTAGGAAGGATTGCTTCCCTTTCAATTTCATTGAATAGTTTGAGGAGTGTTGGCATTAGGTCTTCTTTGTATTTCTTGTAGAATTCTGCAGTGAATCCATCTGGGCCTGGGCTCTTCTTGGTGGGTAAGGACTTAATTACATTTTCAATTTCAGTAACCGAGATTGGGTTATTCAACAATTTTACATCCTCTTGATCTAGCTTTGGCAGTTCATATGCTTCTAAGAATCTGTCTATTTCTTCTGTGTTATCAAACTTTTGAGAGTAAGGTTTTCAAAATAGGTGTTGATGATCTTCTGTATTTCTATTGGGTCTGTAGTGACTTCTCCTTTTTCATTTCTTATTGCATGAATTTGAGCTTTTTCTTCCCTTTTTAAAATAAGGTTGGCTAGGGGCTTATCGATTTTATTTATTCTTTCAAAGAACCAACTCTTTGATTTGTTGATCCTTTGGATTGTTTTCTTAGTCTCTATTGCATTGATTTCTGCTCTGATTTTTATAATTTCCTCTCTTCTTTTGGCTTTGGGCTTGACTTGCTCTTCTTTTTCTAGCTGTTTGAGGTGTAGCATCAAGTTATTTATTTGTATTCGTTCTGTTTTCCTGATGTGGGAACTCAGTGCAATAAATTTTCCTCTCAGGACGGCTTTCATTGCATCCCACAGATTCCGGTAAGTTGTATCTGCATTTTCATTTTCTTTTAGGTATTGTTTGATTTCTTCTTTAATTTCTTCTGTGACCCACTGATTACTCAAGAGTGTGTTATTCAGTTTCCATGTGTTTGTGGGATTTTTGCAGTATCTTTTATTGTTAATTTCTAATTTCAGAGCGCTGTGATCCGATAACATGCAAGGGATGATTTCAGCTCTTTTGCACTTGTTTAA